TTTTCCCTTCCGTTTGCCATAACACTTTAGAGATTCAAGGTCAATTCCAAAGTCTCACACTTTTCTTATCTTGCAGCTGGAAATTCCCCTAGCCCAGCTCCTATAAAGTAACCAATTTCAAAAGCTTCCACTAGGGGAAAACAGGTTGTATTTGTATCGGTCAATATGTCCTCTTTTAAACACAGTTTCAATAATCCGAAGTTAGTTTCAATTTTCAGTTACTTTCCTCCTTTTTTAAAAAACAGCCAGAAACAGTAGAAACAATGTATTTCTCTTATTTAGCTAGCTAGCTGAACGTTCTAAGCGCTGTCAATGAACATTAAAAAAAAAAAAACCATCAGTCTTACTAGCAGCCCGTTTCCAGGGTCAGAGCGGCGGTGTTTTAAGCCTCTTCGCTCTCTCCCGCAGGCATACTCAATCCGCAACTTCCCCCTCTCTTCTTCTGCCTCCAAGAGGGGGTTTAATGTTCTTTACCGTTGGAAATTTGATATTTTACAAAAGACCTTCCAGGACTCCAGCTTGCAACTTCATCGCCTCAGTCTATTTACAAAAAGGGAAGGCGGACTTCCTGTTTTGAACCTCCCCGTTAAGATAATTACAGTGGTGCCCCGCAAGACGAATGCCTCGCAAGACGAAAAACTCGCTAGACGAAAGGGTTTTGTGTTTTTTGAGCTGCTTCGCAAGACGAATTTCCCTATGGGCTTGCTTCGCAAGACGAAAACGTCTTGCAAGTTTGTTTCCTTTTTTGTAAAACCGTTAATACCCAGGGTGCATTGCTTGAAGAGGTGCAGTTGCGACTTGACTTCGAGGAGCAACTCATAGCACGCGGTGTGGTAGCCTTTTTTGAGGTTTTTGAAGACTTTGGTGATTTTTGAAGCTTTTCCAAAACTTCTTTTGCAGCCATTTGGTAAGTTAAACTTTTAAAATTTTTTGGGGGGTTTTTGGATTTTGGGTTGGGGTGTTTGGAATTCAAGGACTTGGTGTTGGGGAGGGGTTTGCAAGAATCTGGAAGCTTGTGTGGTTTTTTTCTGCATTTTTATGATTTTCTGTGACCATTGGGCCACTCTGCTGTTTTTTTAAAAAAAAATTCTGAATTTGAATTTCTGTGTGGTGGGTGGCTGGGGGAACAGTTGAGGAGGGGTTTGCAAGAATCCAGAAGCTTGTGTGGTTTTTTTCTGAATTTTTCTGATTTTCTGTGACCATTGGGCGACTCTGCTGTTTTTTAAAAAACATTCTGGATTTGAATTTCTGTGTGGTGGGTGGCTGGGGGAACAGTTGAGGAGGGGTTTGCAAGAATCTGGAAGCTTGTGTGTGTTTTTTTCTGCATTTTTATGATTTTTTGTGACCATTGGGCAACTCTGCTGTTGTTTTTTTTAAAAATTCTGGATTTGAATTTCTGTGTGGTGGGTGGTTGGGGGAACAGTTGGGGAGGGGTTTGCAACAGTTGGGGAGGGGCTGGGGGAACAGTTGGGGAGGGGTTTGCAATTTCTGTGTAGTGGGTGGCTGGGGGAATAGTTGAGGTTTTTGAAGACTTTGGTGATTTTTGAAGCTTTTCCAAAACTTCTTTTGCAGCCATTTGGTAAGTTAAACTTTTAAAACTTTTTTGGGGGGTTTTGGATATTGGGTTGGGCTGTTTGGAATTCAAGGACTTCGTTCTGGGTTTGAATTTCTGTGTGGTGGGTGGCTGGGTGCTTTTGAATTTTTTGGATGTGAAGCACTGATATTTTTGGGGGGGGGTTGCGAAGGTAGGAGCTGTGCTGCCATGGGACCCAAGAAGACTGCTGCTGCAGAGGCCGGCGAGGGGAAGAAGGAGAAGGTTACGCTGGAAATGAAGAAGGAGATCATCCGGAAGCACGACAGTGGAATGCGTGTGACAGACCTCGCCAGGGAGTACGGCAGGAACCCATCGACCATCAGCACCATCCTGAAGATGAGGGAGAAGATCCTTGCGACTGATGCAGCCAAGGGAGTCACCAGGATCGTGAAGAACAGCCCAGCTGTTCTGGAGGAGGTCGAGAAGTTGGTTAGAAGAGAAGCAGCGTGCAGGGGACACAGTGACTGAGGCCGTCATTTGTGAGAAGGCCAAGGCCTAGCACGCAGACCTCGTCCGGGAACAGCCAGGAACCTCAGGCGAGCCAGAAGTCTTCAAGGCAAGCAGAGGCTGGTTTGACCGGTTCAAGACGAGATCTGGAATCCACAGCGTGGTCAGGCATGGAGAGGCTGCCAGTTCTGATGTTTCTGCGGCTGAAGACTTTGCAGCCGAGTTCCTGGAGGTTGTGAAGACGGAGGGCTACGTTCCACAGCAGGTCTTCAACTGCGACAAGACCGGGCTGTTTTGGAAGAGGATGCCCAAAAGGACTTTCATCACACAGGAGGAGGCCAAGTTGCCTGGCCACAAGCCCATGAAGGACCATCTGACCCTGCTCTTCTGTGCCAACGCAAGCGGCGACCTGAAGATCAAGCCCCTGCTGGTGTACCACTCGGAGAACCCACGGGCCTTCAAGAAACACAAGGTCGACAAGGAGCAGCTGAGTGTCATGTGGCGATCCAACAGTAAGGCTTGGGTCACATGTGTGCTGTTTGTGGACTGGGTCAATCTTGCTTTTGGCCCTGCTGTCAAACAGTACCTGCTGGACAACGACCTGCCGCTGAAGGCTTTGCTTCTGATGGACAATGCTCCTGCTCATCCTAAAGGCCTTGAGGAGGACTTGTTGGAGGAGTTCAGCTTCATCAGCATCATGTTCCTGCTGCCTAACACCACGCCACTGCTCCAGCCGATGGATCAGCAGGTCATCGCCAATTTCAAAAAACTCTACACCAAGGAGCTTTTCAGGCGATGCTTCGAGGTGACTGATTGCACCACCATCACCCTGCGGGAATTCTGGAAGGACCACTTCGACATCGTCACCTGCTTGAAGATGATCACCACGGCCTGGAAAGGGATCAGCCAGAGAAATTTGAATTGCGCTTGGCGCAGCCTGTGGCCGGACTGTGTGGCACCAAGTGACTCTGATGCACCAGAGTCAACAGTGGTGCAGGACATTGTTGCCTTGGGGAGGACCATGGGCCTGGAGGTCACAGAGGAGGACATCAGCGAGCTGGTGGAGGAGCACGACCACGAGCTGACCACCCAGGAGCTGGTCGAACTGCAGGCAGAGGCTGCGCAGGAGCAGGCCTCGCTGGAAGAGGAGGAAGCAACTGTCCTCCAAAGAACTGAGGGATATTTGCCTGAAGTGGAAGGATGTGCAGGCTTTTGCACAGCGGCACCACCCTGACAAGCACGTGGCACATGACCTTGCGAACACTTTTGATACGAGGATCATGTCGCCTTTCAGGGAGGTGCTGAAAAGGCAGATGAAGCAGCAGACCATGGACAGGTTCTTCAGCAAGAAGCAAAGAGTGGAAGAGGAACCTTCTTCGAGTTGTCCCCCAGAGTCTTAGAAAATGTACTGTACACTTTGTTGATTTTTAAATGTTTTTCTGTCATGTTTAGAAACTTAATTTATTGTTCCTTCAATTTTTGAAATACTCTTTACAGTATGTGTGACTTTAAAGAGCACTTAATAAACTCTTGTTGTACCAAATTTGGCTTTGTTTGGACTTTTTTTGACCATAGGAACGCATTAATTGAATTTCAATGCATTCCTATGGGATTTCGTGCTTCACAAGACGAAAAATTCGCTAGACGGAAAAACTCGCGGAACGAATTAATTTCGTCTTGCGAGGCACCACTGTATAGAACAGAAAACAGAGTAAGATGGAAAGGAATTGCTGAAACAAATAATAGAAGTGGAATACAAAAAGGGAGGTGTGAGGAAGTCACTGGAAATAAGTGAATGAAATATAAGATATTGAAAATGTTTGAGGTGTTTTTAAATTGTTTTTGTTTGTTTTTGCTTGATTTTCCCCTCTTTTTCTCTGTGTTTGTAGTGCTGTGTTGGAAATTTTGAAAAAGTAATAAAATAAAATAAAAAGCAATAAAACTACAATTTTTAAAACTTCCGGCTTCAAATATAGTGCACTGCAATTGATGCAACAGTGTGGGAAACAAGCAAGACAAATTGAAGGTCTTAATACAGGATGGGAAATATGACCTAGTAGCCATTAATGAAACCTGGTGGGATGAGACTCATGATGGGGTGTAGAAACTCTTTAAAAGGACAAGACCAAAAAGTGTGGGGGGGGATAGCATTATATGTAAAGGATGTGTATACTTGTGAAGACATCCATGACCTGGAGCCTGGAAGGCAGATTGAGAATGTATGAGTAAATATTGCAGGAGAGGGAAACAACAGTGGCCTTACTGTGGGTGTCTGCTCCAAGCCAGACTGAGGAGTTAGACGGAAGCTTTCCTACAGCATATTACTAAACATTCAAAAATGGAAATGGGAGACTTCAACTTCCCCTATATCTGTTGGAACTCAAACTCTGCCAAGAATGTAAGGTCCAACAAATTCCTCCATTGCCTCGCTGACAATTTCCCACAAGGTGGAAGAAGCAACAAGGGGATCATCTACTTTGGACCTGGTCCTTGCTCTTAACAAGAAAAAAAAATTAAGTACTCTGGGTACTTACTTTTTGCCCTTTTACTCCACTACAGTCACATTTTCCACAGCCAGAACAAGCCTGTGGGTTAAAAAGAGAAAAATAATTAATTTTAGAATTCAAAATAAGCTGCAACATATGGTAAAGAGCTGTCTAGAGGAAATAATTACATGTAATAAGAATAAAATTGGTAACCCAAAGTATAAAACATGAAGTAGTTTACTCCATTAGAAATATCTGTAGAACTATGGAACTGGTATTAGGACACGGTTTGCCAACGCAATGCCTGAGGGCATCAGTGCAGAGCCATCTTTCCCATAGGGCTTAGTGGTGCATCGCGCCAGGGCACCGGCCTCTCAGGGGTGGCCCAGCAAGTGGGGGAGCTGCGCAGCTTTGCCAGTGGCCTCCCCTTTCCCTTAACGCCCGCCAGCTGCGCCTCGCCAACCATAAGGCTGGCAGATGTGCAGCTTCCCTCTCAAGCCTCTGTGGGGATCGCTCTCCCCCCGAGAAGGCTTGAGAGGGAAGCTGCGCTCTCCTCCCGAGGAGGCTTGGGAGAGGCACAACTTCACTCCCAAGCCTCTGCGGGGATCGCTCTCCCGCAGTGGCATGGGGAAGAGTTGCGCCCCTCCAATGGCTGGCAGTGTGCAGCTATGGCCACCCCAACACTATCTGTGGTAATTTGGGGGTGCTGGGTGGATATTTACACCCCAGTGCAGCATCTGCTAAAGATGGCCCTGCATCAGTGTGCCCATCAGTGCCTCCAACGATGCTTACAAAAGGTCACAGGGAATATCCCCTCAAAAACCATAAGGCAGGGAGGTCCAACTTTTCATACCAAGTGGGTCACAAAAGTACCAACCTTGTTGGAGCAAGGCCAACATTTCCACATGCTCCAGCCCTCATGCTGCCTTCCCAAAGCTTAAGGTGCCAGGCTAGGGGAAGAAGGTGTGAGGCTCCGGCTGGGTCCTAGAGTGTCCCACCTTCTTCCCAAACCTGGGAAAGGGCTAACTAGAATTTGGAAGGAGACTGGAGGACTTGAGGACCCATCAGAGAACTTACTGCTCCTTCACATAGGTCAGCGCCTCCTGACCCGCCTCTGGGAGGGCAGTGCAAGGGCTGTGGATGGGGGGGTCAAATGTTGCAGAGGGCTGCAAAAAGGCATCAAGGCCTTGGGATGTGTGCTGGACCACCCTGACATAAGGTATAAAGCATTTCTTCATGCTCAGTGTTCTACCTCAACGATTTAGTTCTTGGGTGTTCTACCTCAGCAATTGTGTTATATGTTTACGTCTTCCACTGCAGTTCCCTACATCAGCAAAGAAAGGTCAAGCAAACAGAGAATGTATCAGCAGAGTCAATCTGTAGCTACTGATAAAGGTGAGGAGGTATCTCAAAACGAAGGAAATTGCTGTCACCCCTTTGACAAGCTCAGCCAACCCTCTGGCAGAACAGTGGGTCTTTCAGTTGCTATTTTATAGGCCCAAACACAATATGTCCAAGATCTCTGAACAGATTCCTCAACATATTTTTTAAAAACTTTAAAGCTCTTGGAGGATAAGGGCCACCCAGAACAAATTGCTTTTAGGCAGCATTACTGGGGAAGGTAATCCTTATATGCAATTCTCTGGTAGAAGATTTCCTTCCTCAAATGAAACTGGGAAGCTGCTGTTGTTGCTTTTAAGAGAGGGTCACTCATATCCCACCCAAAGGATGAGTACCTCCAATAGGGCTACAGGTTTTAATATTTTCTTAAGTAAATAAATCATGCAATTTCTTCACAGATCTCCCATGCCAAATCTGTTTTGAATCTTAACTTATAATGAAAAGCCAGAAATTGAGATGCCAGAAAATACACCAGCCAAGCTGCTCCTTGCTGCTCCTGTGGGGGGCAGAAGCTTTGTTTCATATGTCTGCACACTTGGATTTTTATTTTTACCATGCAATAGGTGTTACAGGATTTTGGGATTCCTACCCATCACCATGCAGACAAGCCAGACAGCCCATGGTGGAATCCAAACCTCATTATCTCCAAATAACAAATATCAGGCTCAGGGCACAACATGGGATTTTTCCTTTCTGTGGTGCACTCAGAGACATTGTCTTCCCCAAAAAGATGCTTTACATATTTTGGTAAGTTTATCCCAATGCCTTTGAAAAATTGAATGAAAAGAACTCTGCATATGCTTGGAGCAGCGATAGCCAGCCTGGTGCCCTTTTTATCTTTTGGACTTCAACCCCCATCGTCTGTTGCTACTGGATTGAGGCTGCTGGGAGTTGCAGTCTCCAAATTCTGGAGTCTACCCCTGACTTAGAGACACTTGAGGTGGCATCCGAAAGTAAAAGGGGCTTCACCAGCAGCCCCAATCCACTTTGCAAACCTCTGATGGTCTTGGTGGCTGAATTAGTTGTTAACCTGGGGAATTCAAGAAAAACTAATGTCTGTCCTTTTTCATCACTCCGTGGGCCAATTGACACCTGCCAGTTGCACACACTAGCACTTCTACAGTAGAAGTGCATGCAATGCTGTGTAGACTAAAACAGAGGAGGAGAGCACATGGCCTTCCTGTAGTTTGGATATACCATTCACATAATCTCTGAGCACATGCCATAATGGCTGGGACTGATAGGAGTTGGAGTCCACAGCTACCCCATTCCTGGACGATACCTTATGATGAAGGCACACATGCTTATTTTAGAGCACATGTTGTATACTCAGTTGGGAATCGTGTATTGGTGGTCAGGATCAGAACAAGCATCCTGTACCTCTCTGGAGTTCTTTGAGGTAGGCTGTCAATTTTTATCATGTTTTTCACATTCCACTCCCTCGCTTGAAATTCTGAGTTTTCAATTTTTCTTATAAATAGGTGGCAAAGACCCAAGCCTTGCAGAGAACCATCAATGGCTCATTTGAGAGGGACAATTGCCCTTCCCCAATTATGCTGGACAGTAGAACATTGCATCCTGTTTTGCCACACATCTGCCTAAAAACATACTATTTGGGTAGAATAGCAGATTAACACAAGATAAGGGACACCCAGACAGAGGCAGAGCAAAGCGGGGGTGGTCCGCCCCGGGTGTCATCCCTGAGGGAGTAACATTGCTACAGGCGGCGCCCCCCCCGGGATGCTCCCCACCGTGGGCGGCACCCCCCTGGGCGGCGTGCCACTGCCGCTAGCTCCACCTCTGCCTGCCCCTATGAGCCATTTGCCCCACCCCTGGGAGCACCGCCCAAGGTGCCCGAGAGGCTGCTTCTGCCACTGCACCCAGAGCATTCTAGTGAGAAAGTTTTGGAAGGTACACTTGTGTAGTACACAAGTGGATGTCATTCATAATGATGGTGCCCAGAGAAGTAGCCATGTTAGTAATTTGCAGAAAAAGCAAGAGCCTTGAGGCACCTTAAACACCAACAAGTTTAGCATGGCATATATTTTTCTGGACAGATCTTTAGGGTTCTCTCTATCTGCATAACATTGTCATTTGACTATGTTTATTTATTTACATGGATGCAACATCTGCATTGCCTGTTGATTTTATAAGGACTGTGAAACAAAAAAATTATACAGCCATTTTAATTTCAAATGATATTTATAAAAAGTTGTAAATTCAGAATATTCTGCCAAACCCGGAAACACTCTCCAGAAGGGTCAACTGACTCATAAAGCACAGACGTTCAAGGCTAATTGTTTGTATTGCAATAAATCTTCAACCTAATTACAATTTGCGTGCTGTGTTATCAAGACGGCAGCCTGGGCTTCTGACAGCCTGACTGTGACCAACTCCCGCCAGGAAACCCATGTCCCCACTGTGGAGGCATGTGTGGATCCAAAATTGGCCTCCACTCACTTACAGACTCATTGTTAAGACTATGTTCATGGAAAATAATCTGACTCGGCTACAAGTGATCGCCAAAGAAGAAAAATGATAGTATTTTTATTTCCTTATTTTAAATTATAGTCTTGGTTTTTTCTAAGCACTTTGAATGGGTAAAAGAATATTCATCGGGTTCCTTAACTCTCTGGGGATACTGCCAACTGTCTATGATCCTCTCCTTGCCTTCACCCCAGTAGCAAGGGTCTCCTTAGTTTGTTAGATGATGAGACACAGATATATGACAGATGATATGCTGACAAATTCACTGGCCATGCCATCAGTGTCAAAATCACCACAGCAGACTGATGCCTCTACCACAACCATGATTTCAGCATGCCAGTTCTGCTACAAATGGGCAGTGTTCCATGAGTACAAGCGCTTTCACTCAGGGCCACTTTATGCTGGCATGGCAAAAAGCATTTTTCTTTTGATTATGTGCTTTGTTATGGTTGCCATTTGTTCCTTCTTTGTCTTTTGCATGTTCCTCCCTTACTCATCACCTCATTCCTATCAGGTTCAACAGCTGGAGAAATGAACTGGCATCCTGGGCACTTACAGGCCACACAAAGAAAGCCATTAGAAATCAAATTCATGGTGAAGTGGAATAGACTTGCAAAACCATATCCTGTTTAAAATTCGTGCTACTGCAGTGTCTGTAACATTGCAGAGCAGCTGGCTAACCAATGTCCTTGGATGGAAACTAAAGAAAGCTTAGCTATCAACACTGCTGGGCCTTAATCGCCCCACTTTCCTTCCTGGAAACCCTCATCTGTGCTTGCATATATGTCAATCTAATGCTATGTTCTCAGGGAAATGACTTCCTCCCTGCAATGAAGGAAACAGACTTACTGGTCTGCTGTAACTAGGACTGAGCTAAATGAGAGGTTGCTTGCTAAAAATGGTCTCCCCTGCTTTCTGTGGTTTTTCCAGGATGAGTATGCTATGAATAGAGGCAGGGAGAACCGATGACAGGCAAGGGGCTGTCTCCCTCCCTTTTGGGTAGCCTGTATAGCAGGAATGGGGAACATCTCTCAACCTAACGACTGCCATTTCCTTGTGGTCAACCTTTGGTGAAGAGTCAAATGCCAGCAGTGAGAAGGTCGAAAATGAAAGTGGGTGTCACCAACGTGGGTAGGACCGGAGCTGGTGGTTGATAAGGCCACCTCACAGTAGCTCACATGCCACATACAGAGTCCAGTCTATACTGGACTCACATTATTATACAGAACCCTCATTATGAACATTCAGGAGAAATTTAAAAACATTCCTGTTCACTCAGACATTTGATGGCTAAAATCTGTTCCTGGCAATTATTATTAATTCTGAAAGTGGAATGTGACTGTTTCCCAATGTTTTTACTGTTTTTTAAATATTTTAAATGGTTTAGATGTCTACTTTTTGGGGGAGGAAATGTACTGTTTTGTGGGTTTATTTGGGGGGAAAGGTAGGATGGCATTTTAACAAAATTGCTAAAAACAGTATCAGACATGATCCATATATCTGAGAAGCCTCAGGAACAGGATATTAGAATTAAAAACCTCATGAAAGATAGTTATTGCAGTCTTTTTTTTTAAAAAAAAATCACCTTTCCCCAGCTCTTCTGGGAAACGATTGCAGTTTTGAAGAAACCATACCAAAAGCCATGCTCCAAACTACCGTTCTTTGA